TATTTAGGCCAAATTTGTATTCTGCCCCAAGCTACTTATTAGTGTGAACAGTACCTGTAAACTAGGTCAATTTCTGCATTATTTCATAGGTTTTACAACCAGTAGAGCCAGATAACAAACTGATACATCAACACACTCATTTACATCCCCACTGTTGCTCTAATTTACCGTTCAGTCAGAGCTGACATACCTAACCGTGACCTAACCACCTCATCCATTCTAATATGAAGTAAAAAATGTGTGTGTGTATGTGTGTGAGAGAAAGAGAGTGTGTGTGTGTGAATGTGTGAGAGAGAGTGTGTGTGTGTGAGTGTGTGAGAGAGAGTGTGTGTGTGTGTATGTGTGAGAGAGAGTGTGTGTGTGTGTATGTGTGAGAGAGAGTGTGTGTGTGTGTATGTGTGAGAGAGAGTGTGTGTGTGTGTATGTGTGAGAGAGAGTGTGTGTGTGTGTATGTGTGAGAGAGAGTGTGTGTGTGTGTATGTGTGAGAGAGAGTGTGTGTGTGTGTATGTGTGAGAGAGAGTGTGTGTGTGTGTATGTGTGAGAGAGAGTGTGTGTGTGTGTATGTGTGAGAGAGAGTGTGTGTGTGTGTATGTGTGAGAGAGAGTGTGTGTGTGTGTATGTGTGAGAGAGAGTGTGTGTGTGTGTATGTGTGAGAGAGAGTGTGTGTGTGTGTATGTGTGAGAGAGAGTGTGTGTGTGTGTATGTGTGAGAGAGAGTGTGTGTGTGTGTATGTGTGAGAGAGAGTGTGTGTGTGTGTATGTGTGAGAGAGAGTGTGTGTGTGTGTATGTGTGAGAGAGAGTGTGTGTGTGTGTATGTGTGAGAGAGAGTGTGTGTGTGTGTATGTGTGAGAGAGAGTGTGTGTGTGTGTGTGTGTGTATGTGTGTGTGTGTGTGTGAAATCTTGATTTTTAAAAATCTGATTCATCAAAGCAATAACCAACCGATTAATAGTTAGTTGCAGCCCTAATGATATCACACTATGTACATCGTGAAAACCCAAATACTGACTTACTGCAAATATCTCATCGTACATCAGCACCACTTTCTCCTTCAGAGGCTTCTTCGAAGAGGATGTTCTCCTCAGGAGACCTGCTTTCTTCTCAATCTGAGCCATAGCTCACAAACGCAACTATAGACACAGGTTCAAACACATTAATATGACAATAACGCTTACCAATATCTTCCCTAGAAACCGTTCATTACAGTACGTTACATGCAGACAGTCAGCTCGTGTTTACATGCATGTGTTTTGACAGCTTAGCTTTAGCATGTAGCTTCCTAACATCACATACAGTAAAGAAACACTCTTGACAGCTCACTTAGTATCACTGACATAATTAAGAGGCGCGCATTTAATCAAAAGAGATGATAATTCAACACAGTCTCCATTTGGGACAGTCACGCTAACTGATCAAAGCTGAACTGTTTGGCTCCCTTGCCTTGCATTTATAACAAAATAAACACATTTCCATTCTATCGGTTACTTTTACAATCAGACACGGATTTTAAATCAGAATCTATCCGTTTAAATAAATTAATTCAATAACGTGTTCATACCCGAATAATAAAGGAATCAAAGTTTTTGTTCCATTTCTCTTCAAGCTAAACAGATGGATTTTTTTCGCTCGCCTGACTTCCGGTGGGAGCGGAAACCCCGCCCATGTGTTTACATCACGTCCGCTAGCCATGCTGAATAGACACATGTACACTTATCCGTGTATAATATGCTCGTAATAATAAGCAATAAGACCATCTCTGCATATGCCGTGCTGATATGTTAGCGGAATTGATAACGTTGTCATAATAATGTGTTTTATTATTAGTTTATAGTGCGAAATGATATAAATCATTTGATAATTTTATTATTGCTCAAAATACAGGTGGGTTATGTTGATATATGTATCATATAATCAGCTCATATAAATAATCATGTATTGTGTCGACAGTTCAGACAGACAACTTAGACATCTGACACAAAAATCACTTCTTTATGTAAGTGCTATTAGTTTAGATGTATATTATATAGAAATAACGTTATATTTTACATTTATTTTATTATTTATTTTCATTTTTATTAATTATAAATGTTACTAAAGTATTTAAAAACAGCTTTCTTAGATAGTTTATGATACAGATACTATCATAATGAAATTCTTGATTATTGGTAAGACATTCCTCTTCCCTTCATAGACACTCTTTTCATTTTTTAAATTAATTTGAGATTTTATTAAAATATAAAAAATCTGCTTTCTTAAAAAAATGAAAATGAAAGTAATGAAATAAGCAGTTTTTATATGATATATTATATAATGAGATCTCTGAGGACCTCAGAAAAAGAGTTGGTGTTGCTCATCAGGCTAGAAAAGGTTTCAAAGCCATCTCTACAGCGTTTGGACTCCACCAGTCCACCGTCAGACAGATTGTGTACAAATGGAGGAAATTCAAGACCACTGTTACCCTCCCCAGGAGTGCTCCACCAACAAAGAACACTCTAAAAGCAAGACGTGTAAAAGTCCACTAGGTTTCAAAGGACTGCAGGCTAACTTCTAAGCAACTAAAGGCTTTTCTCACATTGGCTGATGTTAATGTTCATGAGTCCATCATCAGGAGAACACTGAACAACCATGGTGCGCATGTCAGAGTCGCAAGAAGAAAGCCACTGCTCTCCAAAAAGAA